TCTCATGAATAAATAAATAAAATCTTAAAAATAAAAACAAAACAGCTTCGACCAAATATCCAGTTCTATTGCTCACAAGTTCTACCTCTCACAAAGCACTGGAACATGAATACAATTCAGCCAAGTTCTTTTCTACTTTTTAACAAGGATCACCTTTTCTTTGAGTTTCCGATAACACGTTCCTCATTTCTGTTGGAAACCACATCAGAATGACCCTTTAGCATCCATATTTCTATCAACATTCAGTTTGCCATCACTTACGGGTTTTCTAAGAAGATGGAGGCTTCCTCTACAGCTCTCTTCCTCTTCTGAGCCCTCACCCAAATCACATTTCAAGATCTGTTCATGGCAATGTAGGCTTTTTCTTGCACAGATCTCCAAACTCTTCCAAAGTCACTTCGACATTTTTAGGTTTTTTACAGCTCCTCACTCCTGGTATTATTATTTTAAAAATTCAGCTTTATTGAGGCATAATTGACATCCAAAATTGTAAGATATTTAAAGTGTATATTGTGGTGATTTGCTACATAGGTACATTGTGAAAGGGTTCCCTTCATTTAGTTGATTAACACATCCATCACCTCACTATTTTGTGTGTGCCAAGTTCTACCATCTTAACACATCTTAATTATACAATGTAGCATTATCACCTGTATTCACCATGTTGTACACTAGATCCTCAGATCTTATTCATCTTATAGCTGAACTTTTCCCTACTGCTCCCTACACCCCACTCCCCACCCCAAGCCCCTGGCAGTCATTTTTTTTTCTCTATTTGTATGAGTTTGAGGTTTTGTTTTAATTCCACATACAAGTGATACCATATGGTATTTGTCTGTTTGGCTTATCTCACATAGTATAATGTCCTTAAAGTCCATCATATTGTCACAAATGGCAGGGTTCCCTTCTTTCTCAGGGCCGAATAATATTCCACTGTGTGTGTGTGTGTGTGTGTGTTTATGTGTGTGTCTCACATCTTCATTATCCATTCATCTGCTAATAGACACTTAGCTTGTTTTCCATATGGTGGCTATTGTCAATAATTCTGTGAGAAATGTGGGAGCACAGATATCTCATCAACATTCTGTTTTCATTTCCCTTTGACATATACCTAGAAGTGAGACTCTGAATCACATGGTAGTTCTATTTAAAAATTTTTCAGGAACCTGCATAGTCTTTTCCATAGAGGCTGTACCAATTTACATTTACACCAACAATATCAAAGTGTCCCTTTTTTCATGTTCTCTCCAACACTTATCTCTTATCTTTGATATTAGCCATTCTGACTGGTATGAGGTGATATCTTGTGGTTTTGATTTGCATTTCCCTGATGATGAATGAGGAATACCTTTTCATGTACTTGTTGGCCATTTGTTGGTCATCTTTGGAAAAATATCTATTCAGTTCCTGTCTTTTTAAAATCAGATTATTTTGCTAGTGAGCTGCTATGGGTTCTTTACATATTTAGGATATTAACCCTTTATCAGATAAATGATTTGCAAATTTTCTCCCATAGGTTGCCTTTTCATTTATTCTGTTGATGGTTTTCTTTGCTGTGCAGAAGTTTTTAAATTTGATGTAGTCCCACTTATTTTTGCTTTTGTTGCCTTTGCTTTTGGTGTAAAATTAAAAAAAAAATCATTGTCTAAGACTGATGTTAAGGGGTTTAGCCCCTATGTTTTCTTCTGGGAGTTTATGGCTTCAGGTTTTGCACTCATTTCTAAACTATTTTGAATTGATTTTTTTTTTCTTGTATGGTATAAGAAAAGGGTCTGGTTTCATTCTTTTTTTTGCATGCGTGGCTGTCCAGTTTCCCCAACACCAATTATTGGAGAGGGCTATCGTTTTCCCCGTGTATATTCTGGGCTTCTTTGTTGTAAACTAATTGACCTTATATGCATGGGGTTATTTCTGAACTCTATTCTGTTCTATTGATCTATGTCTGTTTTTATGCCAGTACCAAAATGTTTTGATGACTATAGTTTTGTAATCAAGAGGTGTGATGCCTCTAGCTTTGTTCTTCTTTTTCAATATTACACTGGCTATCTGGGGTCTTTTGTGGTACCATTCAAATTTTAGAATTATTTGTTCTAGTTCTTTGTAGAATGCCATTTTGGTAAAATATTTTGATAGGAATTGCACTGAATCTGTAGATTGCTTTGGGTAATAATTCTTCCAGTCCATAATCATGGAATATCTTTCCATTTGTATCTTCTTCAATTTCTTTCATCAATGAGTTTTCAGTGTATAGATCTTTCATCTCCTTGGCAAAATTTATTCCTAGATAATTCTTTTGAATCACTCACAAATGGGATTTTCTTAATTTCTCTAGAAGTTTGTTAGTAGTATGTAGAAATGCAACTGATTTTTGTATATTGATTTTGTATCCTACTTTACTGAACTTATTATTCTAACAATTTTTTTGAGTCTTTAGGGTTTTCTATATCTGTCTCATATCATCTTGCAAATAAAGTTTTACTTCTTCTTTTCCAATTTAGATGCATTTTCTTTTTTGCCTCATTGCTCTGGCTAGGACTTCCAGTACTAAGTTGAATAGAAGTGGCAAGAAAGGGCACCTTATCTTTTTTCTGATCTTAGAAGAAAAGCTTTTAGGTTTACACTATTGAGTCTGGTGTTAGCGGTGGGCTTGTCATAGAAATCCTTTATGTTGAGGCACATTCCCTGTATATCCAGCTGCTTCCACATTTTTAGGTTTGTTATAGCAGCACCATCATGGTCCATTTTTTTTTTTTTTTTGTCTTAGTCCATTTGGACTGCCACAACAAGATGGAAGTCTGAGATTAGAATGCCAGCATGGTCAGGTGAGGGCTCTCTCCTGGGGTCTATGACTTCATGTTGTATTCTCACATGATGGAAAAGGGAAGGGATCTGTCTGGATCCTCTTATAAGACACTAATCCTACTCATGAAGGCTTCATCCTTATGACTTCAGCACCACCCAAAGGTCCCATCTTCTAATATATCACTGTTGGAGGCTAGGATTTCAACACATCAATTTTGGGGGACATTCAGACCATAGTAGTCCTCAGTGACACTTTTGCATTGTGTCCATGTAACTCAGTGTCTGGAGACAATCCCTAGATTTCTGCTCCATTAAGGGGGATAGTTCTCTGAATGCTTTTAAGAGGAAGATACTCTAGAGTGAGGACAGGTCCCATATCTTGTGAGCATGAGGAAGGGGCAGAGCATGGAGAACCCTAACATATATTGATAATTTGCTACTAATGTCCATCGCTTTGTGTTAACTAACTTACGGTAATTAAAAACAAACACTCAAGTTGTTATTTATCCATATGCCACAGATTGAGGAGGCAGGAACTTTTCCAAAGAACAGGGATGAGGGACCAGATATTTGAACCCAGCTGGGCTTATTTCAAAGTCTGCTCTTTTCGGTGACTATGAAAATACCCACCCGTGTTAGCATGGACAAGAATGCTTGCTTAGCTTTTTCCTAGGTCAGGGCCTGGATGTCTTAATCCTTTCTGTCTCCTCTCACCCCCAATCCTTCCTGCTCACTCCAGACCAGTCATAGATCAGAATGTTTGGGGTTAGGCCCATTATTCAGCCATCTCTGAGTTCCAGTTTACTTCCTCTCATTATGGTACCCAATGGGCCAAGCCCACTGGGTGGTTTCAGATCCTCAGAGCTGAGACACCACTATCATCTCCCACCCCATCCTGTCACCCTGCAACCTCAGAGAATCTTATTTTTGAAGACTTTGCCCACTCAAACATTGCATTTATGAAGATATCCTGTTCCCATTATTTATTATCATGAACTGCCCACTGGAACTTCTGGCCAGCCATATTATCTGGGTTGGCAAAACTGTCATCAGAAAGACAATGGCATGGTGACCCTTAGCTGCCTGCCTGAGACACACGTGGGATTTCTGGAGTACTGAAAATAGCTGACAGTGGCTTATTCTTTCTATGCCTCCTGGAATGGCCTGGGCTCACTATCCTAGGTACCCTCCAGCTCACTGACATACACATGGAGCTGGGCTTGAAGCTAGACTTCACGGCACCCAACATGGTGGTCTTTTCACTCAGGTTGCTTTCTAAACTTTTGTACCCAGTCTTCCCATATCCCCAAACCACCAAGAGTTTCCCACTCTCTTCAGAACAGATCTTCTTTGTTGGCCTAGTACTTACAGGGATCCATGATGTCATAACCTGCCTGCATTTTTCAGATTATCATCGTCCATCCTCCCCCAAAGCACTGCTGTGTTTCTCTGTGATGTTCCTAGTGTCCCTTGAGAACTTTGCAAGTGTTGGTGCCCGGACTTGAGACACCTTGCCTTCCTTTCCCATCTGGAAACCACTCTCTGCCAGAAGACTTTGGCCCTTAATTGTCTGTACCACTCATGCAGCCCTTACCACTTTCTGCCTCACTGTATGGGCTCAGCTTTTGGCCTTCCAGTGCCCAGCCAAGGAGCCAGCACTGAGTTCATCTCCCAGCTCAGTTCCTCTCTAGGCTTTCACCATGCCTGGCATGCTGAAGGAGCACAGGAAGGGTCCTCCCTGTGATGGTAATTAAGCACTTGTATTTATCACTGCATCCTTGGTTTTCAGTTGGGGAAATGTAGGTAGGCCTGGGAATCCCTGCTGTTCTAGCTTTTCTTATTATCCCAATAATACCAGTGGAGGTTTTAAATTTTCTTTTATTACAAAGGCCAATGAAAGAAATATCACTCCCCAACAGGAGAAAGGACTGTATGTCTCAGAAAGTTCCTGGGGGTGGGGGGGTGGGGCAGGAGAAGAATATTTTTCCCATCCCAGGACCACCAACAGGTGTGGGCTGAGGGCAGGGGCACTTAAAATTTGCATCTTGGGATCTGCTTCTCCTCTGCCTGCTTAGAGAGGAGGGAAAGCCTAAGGCCTCTCTGCCACCAGGACTCCCTGCCCATGGAGTGTGGTAGCTGGCAGCAAAGAATAATTTTTCCCCTGGATCTGCCAACTTATCACTCTAAGAACATCTACCTTTGGGTGATTCAAATGGACATATATTTACAATATATCATACGTACATATAAAATATATTTAAAATAAAACATTTTAATTAGCAATAATTGTGCCTCGGATAAACCTCACTGGATATGATACTGCCACTGCGCAAAGCTAAAATAAAACATTTTAGAAAAAAACACTCTTTGCTAAACATCCCAGAAAGACAGAACCAACATACCAAGTTTAAATATCGTCAAAGGCTAGTGCTTCCCTTCCCTGCTGTCTTGTGGCTTCTACCTTTCTTTGCAAATGTGTTTGTTCTTGCTTCAACCACAGGGATTTACAGAGAGAAACTGAGGCAGAGGGTTGCAGGCACACAAGCATGAGCTTCCTGCCCTTAATGCCTTTTTGTGCCCAAAATTAGCATTCAAAAATCTATTAAGCAGCTATATTATTGAGAATACACAACCTTTCCATAAAACTGGCCTGAGGTAAGCTCTGAAAATGGTTCACTATTCACTCGACCCAGATAATCCCACAAACTCATGCAAACTAAGAGGTTCAAATCTTCACTTCCTATTAAGAACACCCCTGAAATTGCCCAGACCATCAAGGTTATGTGTATCTGAAAAGCCTCCAAGTCTCTCAAAGATGTCACTTTGCAGAAGCAATGCATGCATGCTGTTCTGTTACTATAATGTTCAGCTTTCAGCAGCGGGACAGGGACTCACCCTACCATTGCTGAAAGCGCCCCTGCTCAAAGTGGAACACAAATGTGGTGGCCAGGCATGGGTTGAAATGACAAACAGTAACTCTTCTACAAATGTGGAGGTTTATTTCAACAAAATGTGAAACGAATACATTTGACTGATGCTCCTTGCTCATCAGGGTATGTGTCCATCGAATTCTCAATGAGACAAGTGAAGGCTGCTTTGTGAACGAAGTGAATATGGCAATCTCAGCTCAAGCAAGTCTTGGTCAATACATCATTTATACTCCTCCTAGCTCAGTAACCTTGCATATGTAATGGGCTGGGGGAATATTAGATTGCTCAATTTCTATGGCTCTTCCTGGCTTCTCTGTATGAAAACCCCGTCTGGGGGCAGACCTACAGTGAGGTGCTCTGGGGATGGGGGTAGGGGGGCAGGGTGGGAGGTAGGCATGACGGACTTCCAGAGAGGAACCGTATTCACTTAATGTTATCATATTCACTTAATGTGTCATAGTTTGGTGAAGAGGGAGAAGTAAAACAAGTGTGACCCATCCTGCTTCTGAAGAAATGCCAGGGCGAGCACAGGTGTTTGTGCCACCTACAGGTATGTGGAATTTTGCTAATTACAGAAAAGAATAATCTGGTCCAAGACTAATCCAATATTTACTTAAGCTGATACCAGCAGTAGTGGATGCTTCTCTCTGGACTGAACATTGTTCCCCACCTTTTCCTGCCCTCAGCTCCAAGCTCCAGCGGGCAGGCAGTGGAATCTCCAGCCACACAGTGCCCATTTGCGTGAGCCAGTCCCAAAGAAGGGTGTGGAGCTTGTTCTTGTGCGTGTACTATAGTGTTAAGGCTCAAAACTGTGGCTTGTACACAAAAGTATTCATACCACTCCACTAAAACGTCTTAATGATTGATTTCTTCCTTGGTCATCAGAGACAAATGCAATTAGCTGCACTGTGAAAACCGGATGCTACACCAGCCCTGATCACCTGCCACTCCTGCTTGAGGAACACCAATGGGGGGAGTCCAGAAACTCTTTCCTTGAATAAACAGGTTGTTGAAAAGAAACTCTCTCCACCACTGGTGAGGAGGCCCCAGCCGCTGGCCGAGGAGGGACCAGTGAGCCTGGAAGACAACAGCACCACGATGGAGTTGTAGATAATCTTAAGGTCATGTGGATTCTGTGTTCCCCGGAAGCCTGCTCACATCGGGGAAGACCAGTTTCCGTGCTGAGAGGTCACACCAGGGTTCCTTTCAGCAGCTGTGGGGAGACCAGCTGTATCTGCTGCTTGTGGACATTCCAGGAAGAGACAAGACCTGGAGGGAGGAGGGATGTCCACTGCTAGGAGAGTTGCTCTGGAAATAGAGCTGAGTGACTCTGGAGGCACTAGTAACCTTTTAGAACTATCAAAGCTCCAGGCTTAATAGTAACTAATAACTTTCCAAGTTCTAAAAAAGAGAGACTATCTGGCCCACTTTCCCTGTGGCATGAGTTATTACTTCCCATCAGTGACACAAAGGGCCAGGCTCCCCACCCCCACCCCCGCTCCTCTTCTGCCCTAGCTTGGGCTACTGCACTGCCTATGTGGCTACCAGCAAGTGCAAGAGCTGGTTGAGCAGTGATATACAAGGTAGTGATAGTTCAACCATCTTTCCATTTGTTCTAAGAGAATCAAGCCCACAGTCAAGGCCCCTAAATCAACAACCGTGACTTGGTCTATCTTCTTTCTTTGCTTCTTAAGTCACAGTTTTGCCCTCATCTTTGAGTTCTCATGGAGCTTGCAGATTTCATACTCCATGAAGAAACAAGTACCTTGGTGTGATTAAACCAGGAACTAGTCCTCTCCCGTACCTAGTACGTACCGGGCTGAACATGGAGGTAAAAAAGACAATGGACTTGAGGCTTTCTCCTTGCCCCAGCCCTCCTCTGCTGCTTCTGGCTGCAGGCTCATGGAGCAGGGGCTAAGGGAGGGCTTCTGACTGCCCGACAACACTTCACATTTCCCTGGGCTGGGACCAAGGAGCTGTCAGGACAGGAGCAGCAGCCCTGCTTTTATGTAGTGAGACCTCATGGTACAGGCTTGTACCCTTCATTGCCTTCGTGAGTCCTTGCAGGAAAGGAGGGCTGTAGTCACAGACAAAATAATAAATACTGAACAGGATGGGTGTGACTGGTAGGGGCTTTGTGACCCTATATCCCATTATGTCATGCATAACTGAAAACGTTCGAGGGGGAAGCAAAATGCCATTTGGATTCCAGTGCTGGGTCTTCTGTGCCTTCTCATTAGAGTGGTTTCAGCTGTAAGAGGCAGCTCTAGCCCTTTTCTCCAGAGGCAGGGATGGGCAGGAAGCTCTTTCTACGTTGAAGGGGAGTCCATCGTGGAGAGGATCCGTACGACTTCTGCTCGCTGAGTGGGTGAGATATGCTGAGTCATATGGACGATGGAGTCCATGGCAACCTCGGGATTGGCCTGTACCAAGCTGGAGAGGAAGATTGGGGATGGTGAAGAAGAGAGAAGCAGAAGTGTCTAGATGGGGAGCGAGGAGGTTAAGAACTACCTGATAACATGCTAATAGAATCCACTGCAGATATATCAAGCACCACCTCACCTAATTTGTTTTCCTATATGAAAAAAGTCCCCAGTAGCAAGGCAGGTACAAAAAGGACCTGGCACGTTTTTGCTACGTCAGAAAGCAAAGAATTACTTAAAAAACCCTAAAAAAACAAAAACCTGAACAAACCAAAAAACCCCCACAAACCAATAGGGACACGTCACAGAGTGGAACCAGCACAAAGGTGCTTCCACTGGCTAAATCTGGGACATTTTGGGCATTAAAGTTAAGTGTAATAATGAATTGCAAATTATTTTAAAAAATATAAATTCATTATTGGCGTAGGCTAATGAACATGTAAATGAATGGGGGAGAGAGAAGACTGCTCACGGAGACTGGAGTGAGGACTGTGGAGGACAGAGAGTTGGGAAGTTCTCCTTTTTGCAACCTTGCCATAAAAACTGGATCAGACACGGGTCAGCCAGGAATGCCTGAAAATCCTGATGAGGAACAGGACATCTCCATGGCCTTAAAGTGTCTCCCCACAGATTGCCTATTAGGTGCAATGGGGAAAATCAGTAATCATACAGTGGAGAAATCGAGTAACATCTTGGCCAGGTGATTCTAACATCAGTAGGAGCAGAGGACAGGTCTCCAGATGTGGTGCCCTGTGAAGGCTACTTCATGCATGTAATATTCCAGTGGAGAATGTAGCTGCCATGGAATCAGCTTTTCTCACAGTCTGAAGATCTGCATTTGTAGCTAATAGTTGGGCACAATGAACTAAGCCTTCATCTAGTGGAGATTACTAAGTGCCCTAGAGCCCAGCAGCTGAGAAAGAATTGTGTTTCAGGGCTCTATTTTTACTGGAGGGTTCTTTACAGCAGTCTCCAACAGAAAAAACCCACAAAGACTGTAAGGCATCATCTCACGATTTGTTCTTAAATCTTAGCTCCTTCCAAAGAAGTTCTTAAATCTTAGCTCCTTCCCACGCAAGTTCCCCAATGCGGGTCTCACCTGCGGATCTGCTTGAGGACATAGTCTCTGCTGATATATTTGATGTTTTCCTCGATTACTGAGCGAACACCATCTTCCTCCGTCAGCTGTTTCTCCAGCCACTCCACCAGATCCTTGTTATTGTCCCAAACATAGGCCTGCAAACAACAACTCCTGGTCAAACACCAGGGCTAGGCTGGACACTCTGACTGTTCACTTTCTGGAAAATTCACTCCAACAGCTTGCTCAGTAAAAAAGAGTTGTTCAAGTTTTTCCACTATTGTTGGCATTGTAAAGAGGAAAGAGGCCTCAGGACAGGAGCTGTCCTCATTCTCTCTTTTCTTCTTTTGGTACAAGATGCATCTTTGAAGCATTCGCTTGGGCCCCTGGAGGCATCAGGGCTCACACCTGACTCAAGTCCTCTCATTCTAGGTTTTTACCTATTCCACAAAGGCTGAGAGAATGTAATCACCTGATGGACCTGAGAGAGTTAAAAGCCCAAATTGTTTAATCAAGTTCTGATTGTGGGGAGCCTGCCTGGTTCAGTCAGTAGAGTGTGTGACTCTTAATCTTGCAGTTTTGAGTTCGAGCCCCATGTGGGTGTAGAGTTTACTTAAAAAATAAAAATTAACATGTATTTAAAAAAAATAAAAATGAAGGGGCGCCTGGGTGGCTCAGTCATTTGAGCATCCGACTCTTGATTTTGGTTCAGGTCATGATCTCAGGGTTGTGAGATCGAGCCCTGTGTCCAGTTCCATGCTCAGTACAGAGCCTGCTTGAGATTCTCTCTCCCTCTTCCTCTTCCCAACTTGTGCATATGCTCTCTCACTCTCTAAATACGTAAATAAAATCTTTAAAAAAGGGGGGGGGGAAATCCCTGGGTGGCTCAGCAGTTTAGCGCCTGCC